TGCATTTTAATGCATTTAAAACTTTCATAATCGTCTCTTCCAACATAGCAACTTCACTTCTACGCAGGCATCAGAAAGATGCCATTTTATATGATAAATAATGCTACCCGGCATGAGGGACTGATTAGAGTGGTCCCTCGTGCGATACCGGTGCCGAATAACTTGTCCCACCCTCCTTCAAGGCTACCAAACTGGACAACTAACCCATTCTGTCTCGCAGAACAAAACCAATGGCAGTAAAAGCAGATGTCTGGTCTCGGTTAAGCCCAAGGCTACATGGTTATGTAGCTCTTATGGGAATCTCTTTCAAGAAAGGATTTCACAAGTGATGAAACGGGGAATCGACCCACTTTTGAAGATGATTTGTGGTGAACCGCTTCGCCTATCTGGTCATCGGCAGAGCCCTGGCCCCAAGCAATATTCTTATTATATTATTTTTATATTATTTTAGAAAAATCTACTCATGCCCCTCGGCGGATCTCTCGTGCAAAACTCATACGGTTACTCCCCAATACTTGTAGCGTATCAATATAATAGGAAACAATAAGTCTAGAACTATAATACTCGGGTTTTACCAATAAAAAAAACCACCCTAATGCTTTCGATCTCTCCATCAAAGGGTTTTGATAAATAAAATGCCAACCTGGAATAAGCAAACCTAGGCAACGAAAAAGGGGCCCGATACTTCAACTAGAGGAGCGCTTCAAGTTCTTTATCGGGACTGCTCTGCCCGTGGTTGCCCCCTGGTCAGTCTTTAGGCGGCGGAGGTTTTCGACGGACGTTCGATACGCTTCCCCGAAACTTGGCCAAAGCTTTCTTTCAAACCTTCTCAAGGGTTTCAGTCAAGCCTGTCGCAAACGATCCAACAATAGTAGAGGAAAACATGGGCAGACTCCTCCGACTGCAAACTATTCGATGGCGTATGCATTTTGTTATCATTTCCAGATTGACCTTCACTTCTCTATTTACTATCCCCTGAATTGCTCTCCCTGCCTACCCTGGTATGAGTTGAGAGTCTCAGAGGGAGTCTTCCTCTACAGATCATATGGGGCAGGTTGCCCGGATCCCCGAAAGTGGGCGCTCCACCACTATTTTTTTGTAGGCCCGGGAATCAAACCCTCGGCTACCGAGGGAATTGCAAGTGGTTTTTCTAAGGCTTTGGATTGCTTTCGTCTCTTTCCTTCTGTTGTTTTATTTTTTTGTAAAAAAAACTTGTAAACTTGCTCTCAATGACGAAGTCTCGAAACAGATTCCCAATTCCATCTGTAGTCCTAGCCGTAAACGATGGATACTAAGCGTTGTGCGTAGAAAAATCTAAATTAAGAGTTAGAAGATGTTTTCATGCTATGTTTTCTCCCCCATTGCTAGTAGGTTGATGGGTCGCACGCCCGGCACACTCCTAGTTTTGGATTTTTCCCCAACCTAGGCTAGCCACCGGAGGCATACTATCTTACCAAACTATGTTATAAAGAGAGTCTGTTTTCTGGCAACATAGTCTGTTTTGAGTGCCCATAGATGTCGAACCTCTTGAACAGCTTCCAATTCATGATTGATAGGTCACCCACTGGTCAAGGGCACGCTCGCAAGGGAATTGGCTGCTGGCGGGGAACTTCTAATGGCTTCAACCCCTTTGATTTTAGTCGATCTCTCTTGAATACCTTGTTGTCGCTCTTCTCTCTTTCCTGTGCGCGCTACCCCCAGCCCAATAGGGACAGCACACCCCCCACTTCAAGCGCACCTCTGTTCCTGCCTGACTATGCTTTACCTTCAAGCTTTCGTTCAACAGTAAGGGATTCCCTCACCTCTTGATCCTCGACATCTGGTCCTTTTTTTTTTTTACAAAAAAACTGCTATTTGAAGGTAAGTCCCTAGTTCCAAGAAAGTGGAAATTGGTTGCGCTTTTCGGATCATGTACATGGCCTTTTCTCCTCTTTGGTCTTTTTAAGGTTTATAGCCAAAGGAGTCCGAAACAAATGGTCCATTTATTGATGGGCGAACGACGGGGATTGAACCCGCGCGTGGTGGAGTAGACCTTGGGAAAGCTACCTTATGTTGGGGATCATTAAAGAGGGCCTCTCTAACCGGTTCAAAGTGGTGGGTGTCCATTAACGGCCATTCCTGGCTCGGCTCCGATAACGCAATTCCGGGAGGAGTCGGTATAGTATAGGGGTGTGATTGATAATGCATCAAACCTCAAGGGAGGTCAATGATAATTTCCTTTTTTTTCTGTTTTGACACATGTCTCGTATAAATCTAAATATGATTAATACTTAATAGAAAAGTTACTTTACCATAACTAAAAAGAATAAAAAATCATTAATTGGAAAGTATGTTTACCTATACATTGTACTTCATTAATTAGTCCGTGAGCAATGAGCATACCAAACTTTCACAAGAATGGAAGTAAATAATGTACACAAAATTTCACTTCAAAGTCTTATCATTAAAAGAAAAAAAATTCAAGTAAGTCCTCAATCCTCATATTACAATAATAAAGTTGACAAAAAAGACGAGTTAGCCTAATTAGCCTGGTAAACATTCAAAACACATCTAATCTAACAGCAATATAATTATTATGAATGAGGATTAGAACCCCTCAATTGTGTCAACACACTTAGTACATAAGATGTGTAACATTCTTATTTAGAAGGTGGAACCCTATTTTTTCCTTTAACTCGTCTTAAGCCCTGCCCATATGCTTCATTAAATAGAAAGCTGATCGTGTGGTGTTCCCCGGCAAAAAAAAAAAAAAAATAGAAAGCTGATCGTAACGGCCAAGCCGAAGCTCATGCGTATCTTGCCATTCCACCTCTTTATTTTATTTTATTTTATTTTATTTCTTCTTTTATTCTTTTCCCTTTTTTGATGTGAACTTGTTATTATACTCCCTTCGTTCCTAAAAGAACTTCCATTTCGCTTTTTGAGAGTCAACTTGAATCACTCTTAAACTCTTACTTTATATATCAAAATTTATGAAAATTAAATTATTTTTGCAGGCTTTGTAGCGGTTTTAATGTAGTTTCTCAATATGTAAATTTTGTTTACTAAAAATAATCCGAGTTTTCACAAGGATCATTTAACTTTATCGTTGGTCAAACTTCGTAACCTGCAATCGGAAGAACATTTAGGGAGGGAATATAATACAGAGTATCATTAATGATATGCTTCTCATTCACTTCATAGTTTACACCCCCTATCCAAAATTCTTTTACGATTTCACAGTTATTGTTTTTCCTTAACATACTGAAATAGTCAAATTTCATTTATTTTTATGCATTAGTATAACTTTTCTTGTACTTTCTAAATATATAATTTTTTATTTTTGGAAAAAGTATGTTGTTACAATTACTTAATATATGTTCAATATAAAAATGTTTCACCTGTGAACTAACATACACAAAGTTTCCCTCCATCAAAGATCGATGCTACATAGCTAAATAGGTGACTTAAATGGAGGGGGTGTTTGACCATGTTTAGCATTTTGACCACATCAATCAGCTTTTTTTTTACATAAAATGTCATTTATATTAATCTAAATCAAGCTCAGCCAGAGTTAAAATTTCCTCTGGTATGTTTCTTACAAAAATCTGTTCAGTCTCATTACTAGGGATTAATCTGGCCATAGCATGAGCTACTACATTTCCCTTTCTTTTAACATGAGAAAATTTAACAACATCAAATTGAGAGCTAATGTGGAGTATATCATCTAGGAAAAGTCCATAAGCAGTATAATCATCCTTCCTTTGCTCTGCAACTGTAGTGAACTTTAATGCATCACTTTCCAAGAAAATATTTTGAAAGCTCATTGATTCGCCAAGTGCATACCATACACCCTAATGTGAGTTTTCTCGCACTTAAAATGGTTGTAGAAAAGTGGTGAAAAGTACGAGTATCGTCTCCACAGGGACGGACAAAAGGGAAATAAAGATTAACTAGACTTAGCGATTAAAAAGAAATAAATAAAATAAAAGTGCAATTGTGCGAGATTGCTTGATTGATTGAAATAAAACTAATTCTAATGAGCAGGTAAAAAGATTTGGTTTTCCTTAATTAACGACGAAGGGAACAGGAATTGATTCCGGGGTTAACCAGATTTCTGGCAGAACAGGCCTAATCACATGAATTTAATTTAATTGAGCCTGGCTAATCATTACTAAGTTCTTACCGCTCTCGCGGCGAAGAGTACAATAATTTAGGAGTCCAGGCTGATCTCTCATGCGACAGGATCCTAAATTATTGCCAAAACGAGCGAGCTTACGGCCCCTTAATCGCTACTAATCTCTTAGCGAACGATTAAGTGTGTGTGAATGTGTCCTAGAACAAATTAGATCTCTCTTAATTCATTCTACATGCAATTGTAATTCTAGCTGCAGTCTAGGTTACAAGAGATATCAGTTAAATTATTCAAACACAAATTAAACGGCATTCATGCAATTAAACCGACAAGAATCTAGCCATCAATCATGATTAACCCCTTCATCAACCCCAAATCCCTAATTAAACTACTCACGCCTCATAATTGACGAATCAAAAGAATTGGGATGAATAGAATAAATTGTCATTAATTAAGGAATTGAACTTACAAAGAATCTCAGGTTCTTGAAGTAAAACAACGTAAAAACGCAGGTAAACTCGTCCCTAGGCTTCTCTCCAAAGTTTGCAACCCTCAAAAATGGGTATGGAGGCCTTATTTATAGAAAACAGGAGAATTTGAGCTGAAATAGGACAAATCGGGGCCAGACACGATGCCAGGCACGATCGTGCCTGGGATCGTGCCTACGGAGTATGTCGCGCGTAAAAGATGTAGACACGATCGTGCCTGCCCCGGACACGATCGTGTCTGGCTGCCAGTAGCTCCGCGCCTTACTCTTCTCCAGGCACGGTCGTGCCTGGTCTTTTCTTCATCATTTTTCTTCGTTTCATGTTCTGAATGCTCCCGAATGCCCACGAGGTCGATCCAAATACTCTTTCTTCACCAGAATTTCGTCGTGAATCTCCCAGTGGCCTCCAAATCTTCCAAATCTTTCTTGAATGCCTTCAAATCCTTCCCGAATGCCTCTCAAGCGCCGATTGCCGGACTCCAACTTCTTCAAATCAATTCCAAATGCAATGAAACTCGATCCAACGCCTGCTAAACACAACTTGAGCCAAAATTGAGACTTGCAACGCCTTAAAGTCAGGAAAACCATCAAAATCCGACCCGAACACGCATCAAATGTGTGTCTAAATATGGACTTATCACATCCCCGCTGCATACTCTGCCAAACCAACCTCCCATCTTACTTCCATCTTCTTAACTCCTGCTGCCAGCACTCTCCCATGCTCATCTCGTATAACAGCCCCCAAACCGACTCCACCGTTCTTAAAAGTTGCTGCATCACAATTCACTTTCATGAATCCTGTAGGAGGTTTCCTCCATTTTTCATACTTTATTCTGGAGGAGTAGCTTGGAGCCGTGAAGACCTTTTTAGCATAATTCTGGTAGTCCTCAACATATCGCCGAAAACCTGCATTAATTAGTTCTACTTTTGGCTCGCTTTGCTCAGAGACCACTTTATTGCTACAAGTCCAAATCACCCAACAATTGGTCAAGAAGTCATATAGCTCCTATCTCATGTTCTCGATCACCCAGTTTAAAAGACCAGAAAATGAAACTAAAGGCGCCTCTTGGAACATCTTTGCCCAGGCTTCCTCTTGCCATATTTTTCTAGCAAAAGTACAAGAGAAAAACATATGAAATAAAGTTTCAATTGACTCACGACGCAATGGACAGAAAGGTACCTCAACTATGTGTCATTGTTATAGTCTTTCTCTGGTTGCCAAGCTCCCTGAGATAGCCCGCCATAGAAAATGTTTCATCTTAGGAAGAGCTTTTAGTTCCCAAACCCGTTGCCAGATCGTTTTGTCATTATCTCGCTTCAGTCCCATTGGTCCCAATACACCTAGCCAATACGCTGTCCTTACTGTGAAAACTCCATCTTTAGCAGGCCACCAATAGAGGGAATCTGGGAGGAGTCTTGAACTCAGCGGGATATTCCTAATGGCACTCACCTTGTTGGTTGAAAAACATGTGGACAACATCTCATCATTCCACGATCCCTTCTCCATATCTATAAGATCAGCCACTCCTAAAACAGCTTCGAGTTAACTAACCTTTTCAATTGACTTCTTGTTCTAATGGCCAAAATCTGAAAACGCCTAAAATTGTAGCGTTTACTACCAGCCGTTTCACAAATTTCCTCTACTGCCCACACCCCTTTTCCTTTTCCGTATCTGCCTCCTTTCCGCCCAGAAAAAACTTCCGCCGAAGAATAAAAAACAAACCTGGGAACAATCGACATTCTTCTCCAGTTTCTTAGTTTCTGCTATCTATGTTCTCTGATTTGCAAATCTTGTTCACGTCAAAACATTTTCAAGAAGCAAGCTAAGGAATGGTTTTAACAAGATGATAAGCATTCAAAATTCAAAACATCTGTGTCAACCTCAAATTAAAGGCAACACTAATGAAAATAAAATAAAACATTGAAAACAAATAAAGCATGCAAACGGTCATCAAACCAGAAGCTTGTAGATAAGCATGAGATAATAGCCATGTTTAAAATTATTACTACATATTACTTGCCTTGATAAAAACGACATAAATAATTGTACTAATTATATTAATAAAAAAAATCATTAATGTCCCTAAAAGACATTTAACAGATTATGATCAGCTGATTGTAAACAACCATTTAACCAAACATCATCCTACAAACTGCTAATCTTATCAGGTAATCGAAACAGTCAACCAAATCTGCTGTCATCAATCAGCTGATAGAATCGCTCAACAGCTAACCGCCAACAGCCAATTGCCAAACACCCCCGTAATCTTTTATGACTTCAAACACGTATGATTACAACATTGTCAGGAATGTGAAATACTTATTGCTCATGAAACTGGTTTGTGCACAACTATATGCATTTGGATCATATTTACATCAATATTCTTAATGTGAATATTGATTAAGGATGAACCACTTAATCACATATTTGGTATTTTTCATACTTGGAATATAATTATTCCTGACAATTTTTAAAATATACCGAAGTACATAGTATATTTTATAGGGAAAATGAAAACTAATAATCCAACCTTTTAGCGGTCTTCTTTCAATAATCCCACCTTTTGATTATTCATGAATAATCCAACCTTTGCACCTCATCTTCATTCACTGGTCCGGGATCGGTTAATGACCTACTATTCCAAGTTATTTTCTTATCTTTGTGAAAGATGAGATTTATGGTATAATGATTTGCAAATATAAGAAAATAGCTTGGAATAGTAGGTCATCAACCAGTCAGGGACCAGTGAATGAAGATGAGGTGCAAAGGTGAATTGGATTATTCATGAATAACCAAAAAGTGGGATTATTATAAGAAGACCGCTAAAAGATTGGATTATTAGTTTCCATTTTCCCAATTTTATATGATTGTTTATTTGTTTATGTGGCGCTATTCTCTTTGGTTCAAGGAAACGAAGGAGTCCGTCCACCGTACAGCCGGCTGTACGGGGAGCACCGTACAGCCGGTGGCATTTTTGTAATTAATGTGAAATCGCGGTTTCTTCTAAATGAGCATTAGTGTACTAGTTAATGAGCAATTGTTCAATTTTAATGAGCATTAAGAGTCTAATAATGAGCACCGTGTCATTCCAAGAAAGCTGATATCACAACTAAAAAACGGTGGCATTTTCGTAATTTCAATGAAATTTGTGGTTTTCGTTAGATGAGCATTAGTACACTTTTAATGAGCATCAAACATATTCTACTGAGCATTAAGAGTCGAATAATGACTATTGTGATATCAACTTTATATACTGTAATTCGCTTTCTTTTTCTTATTTTTTCTTTTATAAAATCTCATTAAATTATATCTATAATCAACTCCTATTAATTTCAATGTGCGAATATAATGTAATATGATGCTTTTGAAATATGCATTGATATGACAATTTAAAAAATGAGCGTAACATGAGTATCAATTGAGCATATGTAACTAATAAAATGAGCATTGATATGAAAATAATAAGTTTTGTTAGTTAAGAATCAAGACATTTTCATTGAGCATCAAACCTCCTCTATTGAGTAATATAAACATGTAATTGAGTATCATGATGTCTACTCTCGTGTCTATAATCAACTTTCATGTGAATCTACTATAATATGATAGTTTTGAATTATGCATTAATACGAAATTTTAAAATGAGCATTTAACCAATACCAAATAAATATACGTAACTTACAAAATAAGCATAAAAAAAGTTCAAGAGTTCTTTTGAATTTTCTAATGTGTTCAAATATTTATTTGTGTATGCCCATTTTTTGTAATCGTTATACTCATCCGGATATACATAAACTTCTTTTTTATAATATGAACATCTATTAGATTCATTGTTCACAATTTAATAAACTATAATTATATATAACAATGTGAAATATTAAAATGTTTTATTAAAAATAATTTATAGTCTTTTGTTCTTGAATTAAAAATATAATCGTGTTGTTTTTATAATATTTACTCGTGCACGTTTATTTTACAATATACTCATTTTAGTATAACACAAAACTCATATTTGTAATATCACACAAAATTTAATAAACTAATAAATATTTGTCTTAGAATAAAAAATAGAAAAACGTAAGATTAACATAAAAAATATTTTATAATTAATAAAAATTAAAGTAAAAAATTGTTAAAGAAAAAAAGAAAGGAAGCAAGTAAAAGAAAGAAAAGAAGAAAAGATAAGACAAAAGAAAACAAAAGACAAAAGAATGTGAAGAGCAGAAAAGCAAGGAAACGAAGAGAGCAAAAAACAAAAGAAAAAAGCTGAAAGCAATTGCAGGCGCAGGAGTCCTGCAACGATGCGGCGGAAAAAAATGAAAGGGCAAGAACAAAAATGAACTTAACAATTATCCTCTAAACTGGAACTAATTACAAAAATGCCGGCTGTACCATGCTCATGGTACAGCCGGCTGTACTATATAATTTACCGAAACGAAGTGCTCAAGATCGGGATTGTCAGGAAACGTGATTCGCAAACAATATCATCAGTGCAGATTTGGACATTCAAATATAATTTTATTTTAATCAATTACTTCCTAAAAAATAGGAGTAACATACAAGAATAATGAAATAGAGAATCATATTTAATACTTGAGCAGTTGAGCTTAGTAAATAAAGAAAGATAATAAAAAGGGAGTAAGAAAATTGAATAGTATTGATATTGAAAAATTATAACATTATTTTAATAATATTGTTTGTATTTATCTCTTGACAATCATTATCCTTGCACGTACTGTTGTAAATACTACTACCTCCGTAACGTTGGAATCTTCCTAAATTGAAAGTAGGTGAGATTATGAATAGTGATATGGGATTCAAATTATTGAGGGTATGATGGGAAGATAATAAAATAGTGTGGTAGAATGAAAGATAAATCCAAAAAAAAGTAGGTGTAATAGTGTATTATTTTAAAAATTGTTGAGGGTATGATGGAAGATTTAGAAATGGGAAGATTTTTAGTTACGGACGAAAAAGGAAAGTGAGAAAATCTTTACGTTACAGAAGTAGTATTCACTCATGTAGAGTAGCATTACACGGAGGATATATCTTCTCCTTTATCCAAAAGGTTAAATCCCCAATCCCAAGGGCCCCCATGCCCCGACCCCCCCGACCCGACAGTGTACATGGGAGAATGTAAATCACGATGACTCAGTTGGCGAAGTGGCAGTAGGCTCATATACCCGCTGCGGAATTCGAACATTGATCATTGATCCAAATTTCTCACCACTCAACCAACTGAGCTACTCAACCAAATTTCTCCTTATTTGCAGGGAGGTTGGAACCTCTAATATATACATATCCACTAAGTGTACACACACACGCTTTTTTCATCGATCGAAGATCATATTGCTGGGAGGTGGCAGAGGCGGTAGAAAAGGCATCAATAATTTTTTATATTTTTATGTGTTTTATCAAATTTTTATTTATTTTTAAAGTTTTTTATTTATTTTTTAAATTTTTTCCTTCTTTTTATTACTTCGTATTACTCCGTATATTATTTTTTTAGTTCTATTTTTATTTTTTCTGATTTTATTATAAATTATAATATTTTTATTATTTTTATGTTTTTATTACAAAATGGGGTACTCGGTTAAAAAATGGAGTACGGTACCCACCATTCACTTGATTTGTCCAAATATATATATTATTTTTAGTTTAGACTTTAATAATTCAACTGCAATATTCTGATGGGTCCATGTTGACAAAACTATGGTATCTTTTGAATACCATAGAATCTACCATTAAAATATGATTGTCCACTAAGTTATGGTAAGAGTAGAATATGAAGATAAACAACATAGTCTTATCTATACATATAGAGATTAGTTTAGTCCTATTTAAGATTATTTTCTCGTACTCTTATTCTTAAAATAAACTAAACCACTAATAATGCAATCTTGATAAAGAAACATATCATAATAATTCCAATAATCACGTCAAGGATATTGGTTTTGTACAACTTTTAATGAATGAATATCATAATCACGTCAATAAATGAATATAATGACGCAGTTATTACTCGTGATAATTCCAATAATCACGTCAAGGATATTGGCTAACAAGAAAATTTGATGAAAAATCCAGACGTGGAACTGGCACGCATTCGGATAATATGCGAATCCTACTTGCAACTCATGTGGACCTTATGATGTTATCCACTTCTCACTATTTAGTCTTATCCGTTTGGTGCTACGTACGGACTATTCCTATTAATATTATTGCTTCTTCCCAAAATAATCTTGTACAGCAATGGTCCATGTGACCAAAAACTAATTTAGTGTTAGAACAATGGATTTAGGTAGGACAGATTACACATTGTTGGTTTGGTTGTCGGCCAATTACAAATGTTATTCGTAGCAATCTTTTTCACGTAGATACTTGGGCAGTAGTTGTGTATTAGGCTACAAAGGTTTCATATCCCGTTCAAAATATCATTTTGACTTCTAAAACTAGTGTACGTAATGCTAAGTATGTGACTATGTTCTACGTTGAAAACGCTAGTATGTGACTATGTTCTATTTACGTTGAAAACGCTAGTGCTGTATAACATAAAAATGGCTAGGTTAAATCCTACACATGTTCTTCCGATTGGCACTGCAATGATTTTTAATTTTTGTGCGATACGTACATATTCTTTATTATTTTGTAAAAGAAGTCTAAAAGGATTTTAGAAGTCTATCTTAAAAAACTTATGATGTCCTAAGACTTTGTTTGCAACCACTTGTGCTTAAATAAAAGCACTTTTGGGGAAAAAGTGATTAATAGTAAAAGTTGATAGTGATTGGTAAAATAAGTGTTTTTTGTGTAATAAAAAAAGTAAAAAGTAGATTCTACATGAAAATCGAGGAAGACCTCAAGCCATTATCTCCTTATTTACCCTCCCCCTCTCTTTAGGATGGATACAATTTACTCTTTCAAAAAAATTCATTAAGTTTGACTCATAACAAATCAAATTTGGTAAAATTTGTGTGCTGTAAAACACCTTTATTTTATCTTCACTTTAGATTATTCAATCATAATATTTTAATTGCTCCACAAAATGAAGTACCGTATTTGTCTAATAATAATGATAGAGCCAACAAATTAATGTGCCAAACCAGCCAGCACCATAATGATAGTATTAATTTGGATTGAATTTTTTAGCATTATTCACGAGCATCGAGCACGGGAGTGCAAAAGTTAATTCCATCTTGAATTGGTTTGGAGCATTAGTTAACAAATTCTTAAATATATAACGTACACGTAACCTCAAACAATAATTGAGAACAATTGTACAAAAACGATTATCTATAAAAAATGATCAATAAAAAATTAAATGTGTATTTTTAAGTGATGGTTTATGTACGAAAAATGTGTGTTTAAAAGTTAAAAGTAGATACAGAACAGATACTACGAAGTATAAGAGCTAAAATACAACAAAAAGAACAAGTTAAAAGTAGATGAAAAGATGCTTTAAATAATTTTTTACTTTTTATACTCCGTATTACACACAAAAAACATGTATTTATCAAATATTACCAATTTTACTTTTTTCCGGCAAAACTTTCTAATCTATTATAGTATTTGTTCTATGTTAAATCAAAATCCTTAAACTATATGATGAAATTCGTACACATAACCTTCTCCTTGATAGTGTCTCAGTTACGTCATCAAACCACAAGATGAATGACACCAATTTTACTTTTTTTAAAACACTTTTTAATATAACACGGGTGTTCCGTCCTGATTTTCCTTCACTAGAGAGAGGAGCGGCTATGGGGAACCTTGACCGCTGCCTCCTCCTTTTTCACTTCTTTTCTTCCCTTCTTTTAATCTTCTTTGATTCAATAATGGAAAATTATCATTTTAATCAGTGTTTTCAATCTTATTTATGTTTCTTTTCTGGCGTTGTCTAGAGATGTTATTTTCAGTGGCAAACTATCGTCAGCCAGATGTTTATTCCCATCATCTTCGGTCGGACGTTCTTGTGTGGTAATAAGATGTTTGCATTGTACTCGTCATCAATCAGAAATATGATTTTCTTCTGCGCCAATATTGAGACGAATCTCCCTCCTCCTGAACCACCGTCGTTTCAGGAAGATGGGATCACATGAAGTGCTTTCTTTCTGGTAACTGGTGAAACCAAAACAAATTCTACAATTGGCATTTGGCTCCTTATCCGTGTTTGGACAAACTGTGATGTTCAATAATTTGTTTGAGAAATATTGTGATCGTAACATGAGCAATCAATGTACAGGTAGAGTTTACGCACGTTTTTAAAGAGATTAGTGATTCAACATTTTCAATTTGAATCGTCTATTTTTATGTTTTTATCCCATTATAGCCTTGACCTATATGCCTATATGGCTGTAATTGCACTTGATATTTTTATATAAAAAAAACGCAAGTGTTCCACTAGTTTTCTCGAATAAAATGATGGAATATACTCCGTACACAGATTTCATTTAAGAGATACGAAAAAGCATCTCAAATACTCCGAATTCTGTATGGCTTTTTCGGTCTTCGTCATCAACCTAAGAGGGCCCATAAAAAAACGGATGCCCCTTTCATCACCCAGCACTCTATTCTCCATTGAAAACTGAAACAAGTACTCTGTATTCTATAGCTTCGATTCATACCCAGCTTCCCTGTTCCCCCTTTTTTGTTTGTGCTTTAAGACTTCATTCTCTATCTCCATATACAATCTTCTCCCATTTACGGATTCTATTCTCATCCATTCTTACTCTTCATCAGCTTCTTGAACAAACAAACACCCAGTTCTTCTCCCAAGCCTTACAGCTCTTTTTCTCTTTAAAGTTGATCGACATAGCATTACAGACTAATTCCATTTCTCTTCTCTCGATTTTCTGTAAAGATTGGAAGTTGTAGCCATTTTTGTTGCAAGAAAGATGTTTGTTTCACTGCCCTGGTTGATCTATCGGCCAGTTTTCACGGCTTCTCTGGGAAACTTCAGCAGGTCTCTCTCTCTTTCTCTCTGCTTCTTCTTCATCTTGGCTTTTGATCAGCCTGGGTGCAAGAAAAACAGTATTACATACGGGGTGAAGTTTGAAAAACATACTCCTTACCTGGTTAGCCAAATATTCATATTTGAATATTTTTCTGAACAGATTAATACGTATGGGGGGTTGCTGTTATTCAGTGGATTATTTATTCTACTTGTTTTTTTAGTGGTGTTAATTAATGGGTTGGGACTTGGGTGAGCATATCTGTGGGTAATTCTAAATATCCCATTTATTCTTTACGTTCCAGGTATGGCTATAATGGTCGTCTTGGTGGGTTTTGTATTGGGAATGAAAATGGGAAGGAGTTGAATAATAAACGAGCTGTTAAGATACCCAAGAATGGGAGATTGAATGTTTCCCCTCAGGCTGCTACCTCTGATCATGGTCAAACGCCAAATTCATCTACAGTCGAATTTTATCAGGAGGTTCTAAGCTCTACACCCCCATTTATTCATTCTGGCATTTTCAATTTCTTTCTCATCAGAGATGAACTGATGTGTGATTATATTGCCAGATTTTAAGAGATGCTAGGGAAAAGTTTACGCGGGAGATATCTTTCGAGTTGAAGGACACAGATATATTACTAGCAAAGGTATTCTGCCTTCTAAATCTTGTTTGCTGGTAGTTTACCAGTTCAGTTTGATCATAAGTATTTCATGAATACAGAGCTGTTTAATGGTTTGTCTTGGATCTTCTCTATATGGTTATTAATCTGTCCAATTAAATAATTTGACATGTTCAGTTTGATCATTAGTATTTCATGAGTAGTAAATACTAAATATGTTCACTCTTTCATCTTTGTCTCTTTGGTTTCGGGTTTTTTAATTTGTGCTATGGAATCTTGAGGGTTTGACTATCTGCGATTGAACCGTATTTCATATTCACCATTGTTTTTTTAAGATATATTCACCATTGTTTAATGATAATGTAATTTGATGTTTGGGATTCCTGGGAAGAGTCCACTCTTGACAAGTTGAAAACAATCTACACTTATTTTACTCTATAGTAAAAACAAAAAGTCAAATGCTTTGAGAAAAACAAAATCCCTGAGTCTGTTTGGATGGAGGGTTATGGAGGGAACTACTTTGAGAGTTTAGTCACTTAAGTGTATATCTTGATACATAGAAATGATAGAATTGCTTCTAAAGGGAACTAAAGATGATCGAATATTATATGATCATTTATTTGGTGAATCTTTCAATTTTTTTAATAAAACCTAAAGTATGTGTAATTGATATAGACTAAATAGACTTTACCTCCACAAGCTTCCACTTCAAATTGTTTTCAATAGTTTTTTATTTATATTTCATTCCTAAGGAGTACTGGACCAAACTTGGATGGACGGGATCCAGTGATCCGCCAATGTAGTCAGTGTTGGGTTGACTTCAGATCCAAAATCTTCTGTTATAACGCTTTTTGATGCAAATGTGTAGGCTTTGCTTTATGTTGGCGCTGAAGATGAGTCATTAATAGCGTTCAATCGTGAGAAGGATGCTCTTTACCTCCAAACTGAAAGACGAGCCTCTGCCAAGTCACCATCTGATGCTCGTCCGGCTTGGTCAAATGTGGAAGCTATGCCACTAGCTGGAAAAACTATGGATGATTGGTTGCGGGAATTGGATGATATTGCAAATGAGGTTGAGTCGGTGCTGGTTTCAAGAAAGATTGGACGTGGATCAGTTGAGGTTATGGACGCAGTGAACACTGTTTTTTTCAACTTGAAAGGTTTCAGAAGGTCAAATGTATTGTCTGATTCCACGTGCTCATACTTGCACTCGGTATTATGCTCTGGATCTTGTAGTGGTATATTTTTATCCTTCATGTCCTTTTATTATACAAGTATTTACTATGATTAGTTACATGGGAGTTTTTCTATGTATTTACTATACATCACTATGATCATTGCATATTAAAAGACACAATTTTACCCTTTTTATTTTATTTTAGCCATAAATGTGTTATTTTTTATTGCATATAGCTTCCCCGAGTTTTGGTCAAATCACAAAATGACCCTTGGAATTTCTAAAGATTACAAACAATGCATTTGACCAGTTAGATTTTACGCGAACAGGCAAATCTGGTATAAATACTGTGGCTAAGGAAAATCTGACAAATCATTAATGTGTTTTTTGTAACATTCAAAAACCTTGATGGGTCATTTTGTAATCTGATCAGAGCTCTAGAGATAAATGTAATTAACCCTATTTATTAATTGTTTCATTTGATGCTTCTGATGCATGATTACCTCGTGAACAGCAATAATGCTTAGTGTTATTTACATTGAAGTATGCCAAAGACTCAATCTAAAAATTGTGGGATCCCGAGTTGGTGAAGATTTTATAATATGGCCCCAAACAGCAAACCCTGAGGTACATATATGCCTCTTTTTAGTTCAATCAACAACTTCCCTGATATTATTTTACCAGATTTTCTATGGTTGTCACTCTTAAGGAGCTATTCAAAACAACAGCCGGGCACAGCTTGTTTGGTATTCTCAATGGGAAGTGTGTGGAGGACCCTCAGTCAAAGGCCTCAGACATCACCAATCACTCACTTTCAGGGCTTGAGATTGCAACGAACCGGGATATCATTGGGATTGCTTTGGCCAATTTGATTGTAAGCTTAAGGGTCCTATTAGAACCTGGAAAATGATAGAGAAGGAAACTTGGAGGATAACAACTAGGAAATTTCGAAAAGAAAAAAAATGGTTCCTACTCAATAAACCAATTTTAGATATTTGTTCAACCTCATTCGATTATATGTTTCTATTATAAATAGAAGACCTATAAATATTAACACATTTAAAGTTTTAATAGTTTTATTGTTTTAATTTCTTTTTCCTTCGTATGAAAACAAATGTAAAAAAACTGTTTTTTTGTAGCTATTTTCTCCCTCTCTTCCCTCATTATCTGGATTCCAGACATAGCCTTAGGGAGTGTTTGCAACTGCTTCTGCTTAAAAAAAAGCACTTTTGGCGTTATTTGGAAAAAGTGATTAGTAGTAAAAGTTGATACTGTTTGAGAAAAAAGTGATTTTGAGAAGTAAAAGTTGATAGTGTTTGGTAAAATAAGTGCTTTTTGTGTACTAGAAAAGGGAAAAACATTTTTCACACGCAAGCCGAGAAAAAGTAAAAATTGATAGTGTTTGGTAAATAAGTGTTTTTTTAAGCCAAAATCCGAGAAGTGCTTTTTTTAAGCCGTTGCAAACACTCCCTTAGTGTATGAAGTTAGTTTTTTTTTCATGTGCTACTTTATTGGGTTTGCTTTTACTAAAAGGGGTGCATTTTTGCAGAGGCTTCACTGGAAACGTGCTTCAAAAGCATACCATGGATTGATGCTTACTTCTCCACTTGAATTTATGTATAATGCTGAAAAAAGAAAACGCAAGAGCGATGCGCCAAATTTCCCCGTGTTAAGGCCTCAGGAGTTAAGGTACCATCTTTAAGCATAATCTCTTTGTCATGATTCTCTAGAATTGCTCCTCATTCCTGATTAAATAGGCCCCACTTTATGTTGTCCCTTACAGGTTCAAGATGCTAAGTTGCAACATTGGCATGACAAAGGGAGAATTATGATTTCCGAAGCATAATTTTTTTCTCAATGATTTAAAAAATATAAAAATAAAATAAAAAAACATGCACCACACTTTTACGTGATCTTGAATAAATAATTTGCCCTAACTTCTAACTTGTTTGGCTCTAACTTCTAATATTGAAACTAAACCTTTTCTCCATCTTTATGCTCTAGAACTATAAAATTTGAAACTTTAATCACATTCTTATTTTTTTTATTAAAATAAATTATCTGAATTTATTTCAGATATGGATTTTCTGAATAATTTGAGTATATTTCTGATGGGCTAATATGCCCTTCACAAAACAACCACTAGCCCTCCCTCTCGATGTGGGAGGGGTGGCGCGATGAATCAATATTTCATCCTCCCTGATGGAGTCATGTTTGTAATACTAAAATCAGTATTCCAAACATAACTCTTTTTATTGGACAAAGGAAGTACATTTCTTGCTTGCTTGTGACATACATAGTGTAACATTTGAAGTTATATTTTTTTTGCACAAATCGGGTGGAAGTGTTTCACGTTTAGATTTAGTCATCTGTTTATAATGAATTACATGGCAATCATATGCGAATGTTTTAGTTCTCATAACTTCATGTTTTATTGCATTTTGAGCTTTTCCTGACTTGCAAAGGATAAATACTATTGTTAATTTTGAATAAATTGCTTGTTTAGCCCTTCATCAATTATGCAGCATTGGCAATTTTAGTCCACCATTTAACTTGTACTAAAAAACAACTTTCTTTGATATATAAATATGAAAGAATGAAACTGTGCGAGATTGGCTTGTATTTGATGATGCCCATAGAAATGTACTCCGTAGTAGTTTGGAAGTGGCTTTGCTTACAATGGCATTAATTTATAGGCTGGCAATGATGGCTTCAGAAAGATTGATGATTCTCCAGCCCCACAATTGGTCTCTGAGGAGAGACCATGCAATGATGTTGTATTATACGAGGTATGTTTTATTTTCAAATATACTATGCCAGAGAACATTTATTTTTTTGGAACAATTATACTCAATTAACTGTAAATTCAGAACACATATAATATACGTTGTAGCGAACACATAACCATTCAACTACTTGAACATAAATTCTTATTTTTTCAACTTTGCCATTTTTTGGCTTATAGATTAGGGGCCTTTTTTTATATACTCCGTATCATTTATCCATTGTTAAATTTTCTGAATTTTGAAAAATGACCTAAACAAATTCGGGATTGTTCAGGGACTATGATGCGGCCATCCGGGAGCTTAGCATTTGCATGATATTTGCCCCAGAAGAGCAAGTCGAAGTTCTGATGCCATTCATCCAAAAGTTGCACCTTTTGGAGGCTGAATCATCTTGGAATTCGTTGGGGCATAAGTGGTTGACCATTCCTTGACTTAATCAACCGAACTGCAACTGAATATTCCTTCTTGACTTGATTGGTGTTCTTACTCTGCTGAATTGCTACTCTAACTCAGACCAGGACTTCTTGGCGTGCCTGTTAAGAATATATTGATACTTGGTTGGCTTTAACCCTAGTCCAGTCGGCAACTGTAAATTTGTTTTGTTGTTAAAAGTCATATTATGCTTTGTTAGTTAGAGTCTAATTGCAGAACAAAGATCTTGTCGAACTTTCTTAGAAAGTTAGTATAAATCATGTACTGGTTGTAATGCTCCTTGCATATGTTTCTTTATTTCGTTCTTTTTTGTTCTTAATTGTGAATACATGTATATAAAGAGCCCTGCTTCTTTTTCTTTTTTTGCCTTGTCCAAATAAAAAGAGTTCATTTTGAGCGGCTGAGGTCCGAGGAAACCTGTTAATGAAATTTGTCAAAAGATTGTCTTTTATGACAACGTCATCTTATTATAAAGAAATGCATATTTTCATATGGATGAGAGACATGCATATAATAACATCCCCAATCTGTGTATATATTTATTTATTTATTATGATAAGATGACGTCATAAAAGGCAATCTTTTGACAAATTTCATTAACAGGTATCCTCGGACCTCAGCTGCTCAAAATGAACTCTTTTTATTTGGACAAGGCAAAAAAAAAAGAAAAAGAAGCAGGGCTCTAAACAAGCAGGGCTCTTTATATACATGTATTCACAATTAAGAATAAAAAAGAACAAAAGAAAGAAACATATGCAAGGAGCAGTACAGCCAGTACATGATTTATACTAACTTTCTAAAAAAGTTCAATAAGATCTTTGTTCTGCAATTAGATTCTAACTAACAAAGCATAATATGGCTTTTAACAGCAAAACAGATTTACAGTTGTCGACTAGACCAGGGTTAAACCAACCAAGTATCAATATATTCTTAACAGACACGCCAAGAAGTCCTGGTCTGAGTTAGAGTAGCAATTCAGTAGAGTATGAACACCAATTAAGTCAAGAAGGAATATACATTTGCAGTTTAGTTGATTAAGTCAAGGAATGGTCAACCACTTATGCCCCAACGAATTCCTAGATGATTCAGCCTCCAAATGGTGCAACTTTTGGATGAATGGCATCAGAACTTCAACCTGCTCTTCTGGGGCAAATATCATGCAAATGCTAAGCTCCTGGATGGCCGCATCATAGTCCTGGAACAATCCCGGATTTGTTTAGGTCATTTTTCAAAATTCAGAAATTTTAACAATGGATAAATGATACGGAGTATATAAAAAAGGCCCCTGATCAATAAGCCAAAGAAATGGTAAAGTCGAAAAAATAAGAATTTGTGTTCAAGTAGTTGAGTGGTTTATGTGTTCTCTACAACATATATTATATGTGTTCTGAATTTACAGTTATTGAGGATAATTGTTCCAAAAAATGTTAACGTTCTCTAACATAGTATATTTGAAAATAAAACATACCTCGAATAATACAGCATCATTGCATGGTCTCTCCTAAGAGACCCATTGTGGGGCTGGAGAATCACCAATCTTTCTGAAGCCATCATTGTCAGCCTATAAATTAATGCCATTGTAAGCAAAGTCACTTCCAAACTACTACGGAGTACATTTCTCTGGGCATCATCAAATACAAGTCAATCTCGCACAGTTTCATTCTTTCATATTTATATACCAAGGAAAGTTGTTTTTAGTACAAGTTAAATGGTGGACTAAAATTGCCAATGCTGCATAAATGATGAAGGACTAAACAAGCAATTTATTCAAAATTAACAATAGCAATTATCCTTTGCAAGTAAGGAAAAGCTCAAAATGCAATAAAACATGAAGTTATGAGAACTAAAACATTCGCATGTGATTGCCATGTAATTCATTATGACTAAATCTAAACGTGATACACTTCCACCCGATTTGGGCAAAAAATTATAACTTCAAATGTTACACTATGTATGTCACAAGCAAGCAAGAAATGTACTTCCTTTGTCCAATAAAAAGAGTTATGTTTGGAATACTGATTTTAGTATTATAAACATGACTCCATCAGGGAGGATGAAATATTGATTCATCGCGCCACCCCTCCCACATCGAGAGGGAGGACTAGTGGTTGTTTTGTGAAGGGCATATTAGCCCATCAAAAATATATTCAGATAATCCATATCTCAAATAAATTCAGATAATTTATTTTAATAAAAATAATAATAATGGAGAAAAGGTTTAGTTTCAGTTTTGAAGTTAGAACCAAAGAAGTTAGAAGTTAGGGCAAATTATTTATTCAAGATCACGTAAAAGTGTGGTGCATGTTTTTTTATTTTATTTTTATAGTCCTTCAACTATCATAATAATGACATTGCAAAAAAAATTATGCTTCGGAAATCATAATTCTCCCTTTGTCATGCCAATGTTGCAACTTAGCATCTTGAACCTGTAAGGGACAACACAAAGAGGGGCCTATTTAATCAGGAAGGAGGAGTAATTCTAGAGAATCATGACAAAGAGATTATGCTTAAAGATGGTACCTTAACTCCAGAGGCCTTAACACGGGGAAATTTGCGGCATCGCACTTGCTTTTTCTTTTTTCAGCATTATACATAAATTCAAGTGGAGAAGTAAGCATCAATCCATGGTATGCTTTTGAAGCACGTTTTCAGTGAAGCCTCTGCAAAAATGCATCCCTTTTAGTAAAAGCAAACCCAATAAAGTAGCACATGAAACTAACTTCATTCACTAAGGCTATGTCTGGAATCCAGATAATGAGGGAAGGGAGGGAGAAAATAACTACAGAAAACAATTTTTTTACATTTGGTTTTTATACGAAGGAAAAAAAATTAAAACAATAAAAATATTAAAACTTTAAATGTGTTAATATTTATTAGTCTTTTATATATAATAGAAACATATAATCAAATGAGGTTGGACAAATATTTAAAATTGGTTTATTGAGTAGGAACCATTTTTTTCTTTTCAAAATTTCCTTGTTGTTATCCTCCAAGTTTCCTTCTCTAGCATTTTCCAATTTCTAACAGGACCCTTAAGCTTACAATCAAATTGGCCAAAGCAATCCCAATGATATCCCGGTTCGTTGCAATCTCAAGCCCTGAAAGTGAATGACTGATGATGTCTGAGGCCTATGACTGAGGGTCCTCCACACACTTCCCATTGAGAATACCAAACAAGTTGTACCAGGATGTTGTTTTGAATAGCTCCTTAAAAGTGACAACCATAGAAAATCTGGTAAAACAATATCAGGGAAGTTGTTGAATGAACTCAAAAGAGGCATATATGTACCTCAGGGTTTGCTATTTGGGGCCATATTATATAATCTTCACCAACTCGGGATCCCACAATTTTTAGATTGAGTCTTTGGCATGCTTCAATGTAAATAACACTAAGCATAATTGTTGTTCACGAGGAAATCATGCATTAGAAGCATCAAATAGAACAATTAATAAATAGGGTTAATTACATTTACCTCGACTGAGCTCTGGTCAGATTACAAAATGACTCATCAAGGTTTTTGGATGTTACAAAAAAGCATATTAATGATTTGTCAGATTATCCTTAGCCACAGTATTTATACCAGATTCCCAGATGTCCTTATTAGTGTTAGAATGCCTATTCTCGTAAAATCTAATCGGTCAAATGCATTGTTTGTAATCTTTAGAAATTCCAAGGGCCATTTTGTGATTTGACCAAATCTCGGGGAAACTATATGCAATAAAAAATAACACATTTATGGCTAAAATAAAATAAAAAGGGTAAAATTGTGTCTTTTAATACGCAATGATCATAGTGACGTATAGTAAATACATAAAAAACTCCCATGTAACTAATCATAGTAAATACTTGTATAATAAAAAGACATGAAAGATAAAAATATACCACTACAAAATCCAGAGCATAATGTCGAGTGCAAGTATGAGCACTTGGATTCAGACAATACATTTGACCTTCTGAAACCTTTCAAGTTGAAAAAAAACAGTGTTCACTGTGTCCATAACCTCAACTGATCCACGTCCAATCTCTCTTAGCTTGAAACCAGCACCGCCTCAACCTCACTTGCAATATAATCCAATTCCCGCAACCAATCATCCATAATTTCTCCAGCTAGTGGCATAGCTTCCACATTTGACCAAGTCGGACGAGCATCAGATGGTGACTTAGCAGAGGCTCGTCTTTCAGTTCGGAGGTAAAGAGCATCCTTCTCACGGTTGAACGCTATTAATGACTAATCTTCAGCTCCAACATAAAGCAAAGCCTACACATTTGCATCAAAAAGCGTTATAACAAAAGATTTTGGGTCTGAAGTCAACCCAACACTGACTACATTGGCGGATCACTGGATCCCGTCCATCCAAGTCTGGTCCACTACTCCTTAGGAATGAAATATAAATAAAAAACTACTGAAAACAATTTGAAGGGGAAGCTTCTGGAGGTAAAGTCTATTTAGTCTATATCAATTATACATACTTGAGGTTTTATTAAAAAAATTGAAAGACTGATCATATAATATTCGATTATCTTTTGTAACATTCCCATTTTCATAATTTTTAAAATTCTAAAAGTAAAGACATGGAAAAAAAACAACTCCGTATGTTATTTCATAGGTGACTTAAATTTTGAGTATAATCAACATGCAGGCATATACCAAAAACAAAATAGATCGAATAAATGAAAAAAAAAGTACATATAAACGTATACAATATATATAAAGTAAAATCAGAAGTGACAACATGGAAAATTAATAACAATGTCATCAGGTTATTAAAACCATGCATGAACAAACAAAAGAAGGAAATGAACACTCAAATAAGGTACGACAGTCATGAGTCATGCATTTTTTTCGTCAAATAATATGAAGAAGAGAACAAAAAACAATTGTCAGCTAAAGTATTACAACCAAGCCACGTAACAATAGCCAAAATCATACAAATGAAACTTGGCAGAAACTTTATGCCGGCCTGCTTACTACACTTAGCTCATATAATACAGGACAAACTTTAGTCTCAGAAGTGCATGCAACACACTTGCTGGACATTTCGATCACCACACAATTGGACAAATTTAAATTACTATCGTATAATTTTAGTGACAACCTTTGTTTTGAAACGATCGAACCACACCCATTAATTTTAGTATAATTTATGTATATATAAATAGCTCTAGCTATAGTATACGAACACCGTACTATTATTATAAGGAGCGATGGGCAAAACAACTCATTCATGTATGAATTAGAAAAGAGAGAAAAATAGGGATTGAAAAGAGATAGAGCCGTGAGAGAAAAGGAGGGGAAAGAAAGAAGGGAAGAAAATAAGGAGAAAGTCTTGCCCGAAAAAAAAAATTAAGCTTAAGGTCTGTGTTTATTCTTTCTCCTAAATTTTAATATTATCTTATACATGTTCTAAAAGTTCAATTCATTGTTCTATTTAATTGATTTGTATCTTCTTAATTGTTTTTAATGTTTACTCCATTATGCTCTATGTAGATAACTATATACTATAGCCTTGAATAGAAGAAGTTGTTATATTTTTATAACTGTTATTTTTATATGAGATATTACCCAAAATGGGACTAAAAAAGTTTGAAAATTCCAAAATAGGACTTCCATGTTTTAATTCCCAAAATAGGACTAATTACTGCCATGTTTTGGCAGTACCAGACTTCAAACATGGCAGTATTTTCCAAATTTGGCAGTAATTAGGCCTATTTTGGGAATAAAAACATGACAGTCCTATATTGAAATTTTCGAACTTTTTTAGTCCCATTTTGGGAACTTTCCCTTTTTATATATATTTAGAAGTAAACTAAACTCTTTAACCGGAAATATATACTAGTATAATGTTTTGATTAGATTCCTACGTAATAGTACGAAACACTTAAGTTAACTTTTGTGAAGAGAATCTCATGTTTTACGTTCTTATGTATCAAGTTTAAATTAGACAATTTATAATGATAAGGAATAGCTAATATGCATATATAAACAGTAAAAACGAATCATTTTACTAATATTATAAAATGATTTTCAATCAATCATATACATAGTAAAAATATTAAGTTAAATTATTTGCATATGTGTACCGAGGATCAAATTAAATTAAATAATCCGTATAATTATGTAAATCGGACCTTATGACTTGTATACACATAACGGGGTAATTGAATACTTATTGTTATATCAGAAAATTATTTATGAAAAACTTATTCAACTTAGATGTATTACTTATATTTGAATAAATATAAGTAATATTAATTTTAGATTATTATAATAATGTTATTTTAAATGAGAGCTGATAATTATAATAGTTTGGCATTCAAAATAAATGGAATTCGAAATCTTGTTTCTGGATTATATTCTGATAGGTTGGCATGCCAATAGGGATAAAAACACGGCCGTAGAATTTGATCAATGATTTCGGGTCCGTAGCCACCGAGTGGACAGCACCCAAATCTTGATTTCGACACACGCGCGCTCCTACACGGGTCCGTAGCCACCGAGTGGACAACACCCAAATATGTTCGTTTACGGGTCCGTAGCCACCGAGTGGACAGTACCCAAACGAACCCCGGCCAGAGCCACCGAGTGGTCCGTGCCGAAATAGTTCTCTGATGGTCCGTAGCCACCGAGTGGACAGTACCAAAGATGAGAACGTCCCGTTTATCCAGTTCATTAAACTAAGGAGTAGAATTCCAGAAAATTAATAAAATAATAAAAGGGTGAAACGGGCAAAAATGATGGAAAATGAAAATGAGCAAAAGATGAAGACCGAGAAAATGAAACTTATATAAGGTGAGTCAAGAAGAATGTCGAATGGAATATTGATTGACAATGAGCTATTATATTGCTCATGTGAACTTGGAGGATATTATATATGATATGAAGATGTGAAAATGGAGATATAAGGATTGTGAAAATGGAGGCATATAAAGAATAAAAAGGGGAAAATGTGGAAAATAGAATTATGAAAATGAAGTAAGAGATATAAATA